GGCGGGGGCTCCAGGGGACAGCGCCGTCAGCCCAGCTCGTCCCCGCAGGCTGCTCCTTCGGCGGGAAGGTCTACGCCGTGGACGAGACATGGCACCCGGACCTGGGGGAGCCCTTCGGGGTGATGCGCTGCGTGCTGTGCGCCTGCGAAGCGGTGAGGGGACCCGCGGCCACCGCCCGGGGCCCTGGAGGACCGGGTTCCAGAGGAGAGGCGGGACCGCCGATGTTTGGGGTGCTTTGCGGGTGCAGGGAGAGGGGTCACCCTTCGAGTCGCAGGTGTTGAGTTGCTGATCCACGGCGTGCCCAGCCCAGCGCCGACTGTCTGTAGCCTGTCTCGCTGAACTCCCATCACAGCCTTGCTAGGCAGATGCCACTGTCATCCCCATTTTCCGGACTGGGGCCCTGAGGCCAGGGAGGTTAAGTGACTTGTCTAGGGTCGCAGGCAGCCACTTTGACTTTGCTGAACGACCCTGCCCTGGTCCCCGGGCTCTCCCTCCTTTCCCTGGTCCGACCGTTTGACATCTTGCACTCACTTCATTTTTCTGTGTTCTCTGCAATCAGCCTCAGTGGGTTCGTCGTGGGAGGGGCCCTGGCAGGGTCAGCTGCAAAAACATCAAGCCCGAGTGCCCAACCTTGGCCTGCGGGCAGCCCCGCCAACTGCCAGGACACTGCTGCCAGACGTGCCCCCAGGGTAAGGACGGCTCCACCCGCAGGGCTGCAATACCAGGTCCTGGGCCGCTTGGACTGGGGCGGCCTGCTGAAGCCAGAGCGTCTCTTCTCCGTGGCACAGAGCGCAGCAACTTGGAGCAGCCGCCGCCGAGCCTGTCCTTCGAGTATCCGAGGGACCCGGAGCACCGCAGTTACAGCGACCGCAGCGAGCCGGGGGCCGAGGAGCGCGCGCGCGCCGACGGCCACACGGGTGGGTAGGCGGGGGGCCCCGGGGTGGGGTCGAGGCCTGGGCGGGCTGCCACGGTGGCTGATAGTGCCCAGGCCATCTTTCTCCCCTCGCAGACTTCGTGGCGCTGCTGACAGGGCCGAGGTCGCAGGCTGTGGCACGTGCCCGGGTCTCCCTGCAGCGCTCCAGCCTCCGCTTCTCCATCTCCTACCGGCAGTGAGAAAGGGGAAGGAAGGAGGGAGGGGCGGTGCTGGTGGGGAGCGGGAGGAGAACTGGAGAGGCAGGGTCCAGCCTCACTGCCCCTCTCCTTGCCAGGCTGGACCGCCCCAGCCGGGTCCGCTTCTCAGAGGCCACGGGCCGTGTCCTGTTTGAACACCCTGCAGCTCCCACTCAAGATGGCCTGGTGAGATGATGCCATTTATGAGCGCTTACCCAGTCTGGGCACTGTGCTGAGAGCAGGCTCAGTGTGGCTGCCCCGGATCCTCACAACAGCTCCGTGGGAGGAAGGGGTTGCGCTAGGGGGCCCATTTTACAGATGAGGGAACTGAGGCTCCATAGCAGAGTGTGATTTGTCCAAAGTCACACAGTAAGTGGTGCAGCCAGGATCTGAGCACAGCAGGGTCCTTCATAAGCCTCCTAGGAGGGCTGTGGGGGGGGGCTCCTTTCCATACCCTTCCTTCCCAGGTCTGGGGCTCCTAGTTGGCCTGTCCTGTGTACTGTCTGAGTGTGGGCCTTCTCGGTCCGATCCAGGTCTGTGGGGTGTGGCGGGCAGTGCCTCGGTTGTCTCTGCGGCTCCTTAGGGCGGAACAGGTGCATGTGGCACTCGTGACACCCACTCACCCCTCGGGGGAGGTCTGGGGGCCTCTCATCCGGCACCGGGCCCTGGCTGCAGGTAAGGGGAGCACACAGCCCCTGCATATGAGGACCTGCGGCTTCTCTGCGCAGGGACCTGGGTGGGCTGAGGAGGGGATTTTCTGATGGACTGTCACTGTCTCCCCTCCCCCAGAGACCTTCAGTGCCACCCTGACTCTGGAAGGCCCCCAGCAGCAGGGTGCAGGGGGCATTGCGGTGCTCACCCTCAGTGACACAGAGGACTCCTTGCACTTTCTGCTGCTCTTCCGGGGGCTGCTGGAACCCGTGAATGCAGGTAAGCGGGGGAGGGAAACGCAGGAGAAGGTGGGGAGGGCACAGCCGCTCAGAGCTGTCCACACGCGGGGCTGTTGCAGGACCGGCCCAGGTTCCTGTGAGGCTCCAGATTCTACATGCGGGGCAGCTGCTGCGAGAGCTTCAGGCCAACACCTCAGCCCAGGTGAGGGAGGGTCCGGCCCGCGCCGTCATCTGCTCCGGCCTCTCACTGTTGCCCACGGCACCCTGCTCTGTCCCCAGGATCCGGGCTTTGCTGAGGTGCTGCCCAGCCTGACGGCCCAGGAGATGGACTGGCTGGTGCTGGGGGAGCTGCAGATGGCACTGGAGAGGGCGGATGGCCCGGAGCTGCGCATCAGTGGGCACATTGCTGCCAGGCAGAGCTGTGATGGTGAGGCAGCCTGGGGCCTGGCGCCTTGGGTACACAGGACCAAGAGGCGCAGATGAGGCCTGGGTGGCTTGGGGAGTGCGTGGGCCTGGGACAAGCCTGCTGCTACCTGTCTTGGCCCTCTGCAGTCCTACAAAGCGTCCTTTGTGGGGCTGATGCCCTGGTCCCTGTTCACACTGGTGCTGCCGGCTCCGCCAGCCTCACACTGCTAGGAAACGGCTCCCTGGCCTACCAGGTACAGAGGCAGGCACTGGGGCAGTGGGGAGGGCAGCAGGCAGGGCCCTGGCACTTTGCTGCCTTTCCAGTTTGCCCGCCCCTCCCCTGGCCACCAGGTCCAAGTGGTGGGGACAGGCAGTGAGGTGGTGACCATGACCCTGGAGACCAAGCCTCAGCGGAGGAATCAGCACACTGTCCTGTGCCACATGGCTGGACCCCAGCCCGGAGGACACACGGTGAGGGCTCCAGGCAGCGCTGGCCGCAGGGCTGTGCGCTAGGGCTGCTGAAGCATGGGCTTCGGGAAGTGAGGCAGGAGAGCAGGGATGTGCAGTGTCGTTTATTTCATCCGCGACTCGCTCGCTGACTCACATGGTACGTTTTTAGTGAGCCTCAGACTGAGGCCTGGAGGGCAAAGATAATCAGATGTGGCCCTGTCTTCGACAAGCTACCGTTAGTTTATTTGAGGCACAGTCTTGCTATGTTGTTCAGGCTGGCCTTGAACTCGCTCTGGTCCTCCTGACTCAGCCTCCTGAGTGCTAGGATTATCAACAGGTGCCACCATGCCCACCTTGACAAGCTACAGTTAAACAGAAGAGTTAGAAGGAACAGTATAGTATTGTATAGTAATACTATTGTATAGAATAGTATTGTATAATAAGCAATAGGATAGCAGTGGTGGCTACTTTCTGTGTTTGCGGGAGGGTTATGGGGGGCGGCTAGCTCAGTGTAGAGTGGTGGCCTATGTGTGAATCTCTAGTTCAGTCCCAATCTCCCTGGGGTGGGAGCCCTGTTCCTCCTGGGGGTGGGGGCACAGGCACTGCGTTGGTTCTTATTTTTATATTTTTTGCCTTTCATACTGCCCATCTTATAGATAAGGAAGTGAAAGCCCAGAGAGCTTAAATAACTCTTTAAGGGTGTTATGCGGCTAGGAAGGGGCAGAGCGAGGACTTGATCTAGGAAGTTCTTTTCTAGCACTGCTGTGTGGGCAGGCCTGCATGAGTGCCGTGGGCACACGGAACGTGGAAAGGCCTCAGAATCGGGGCTGTGTGAGAGCTGAGGGGCTCTTCCTTCCTGTGCCCCAGGCTGTGGGTATCTGCCCTGGGCTGGGTGCCCGAGGGGCTCATATGCTGCTGCAGAATGAGCTGTTCCTGAATGTGGGCACGAAGGACTTCCTGGACGGAGAGCTGCGGGGGCATGTGGCTACCCTGCCCTACAGTGGACACAGTGCCCGTCACGCCAGTGAGTGCCCTGGGGTCTGCCCGCCCTCCCGTGTCCCCTGCCGCGTGATGCAAACATGTGCGAGATGCTGCCAGCGGGCCAGAGTCTGGTGTGTCCTCCCCTGCATGAGCTTCAGCCGGCATCTGGAGAAGGGGGCACGTATAGGGTGCTCCTGCCGGCAGGCCCTGTGTGTTGCCACGGTGCATGAGTCTAACACTTGCCGTTCCCCAGGCTCTGGTCCTGTGGACAGTGCCTTTGCGTTCACAGAGTCTGTGTTGGGGGAGATGGAGAATGCTGAGATTAAGGGGCTCTAGGCTGACTTCTCATCTGTCACCTCTCCTCTGTCTGGACCCAGCATTGCCTGTGCCCCTGGCAGGAGCCCTGGTGCTGCCCCCTGTGCAGAGCCAGGCCGCAGGGCATGCCTGGCTCTCCCTGGATACACACTGCCACCTGCACTATGAGGTGCTGCTGGCTGGGCTTGGTGGCTCAGAGCAGGGCACTGTCACAGCCCACCTCCTAGGGCCTCCTGGGATGCCAGGGCCCCGGCGGCTGCTGAAGGGATTCTACGGCCCAGAGGTGCGGATCTGATGGTGGGAGACAGCGTGGCGGGCTGAGCGGGGCTGCGGCGGGGAGGCAGAGAGCCGGCAGCCTAGTATTACAGATCGGGCATGGGCTGGGGAGTCAGACAGACCTGGGTGTGATCTGAGTCGGCCTTTTATTTTGCATTCACTGTGTTCTTCTCCAGGAGGCTATGGGCTTGCGTATCGTATCCTAGGCCACTGGAAGTAGGGGGGATGGACCAAACCCACAGACTTGGAGTCAGAGAGACCTGTCTTCCAAGCTTCACACCACTGCCCATGGCTTTGCTACCCTAAAGACTTTAGTCTCCCTGGGTCTCAGTTTCTTCTACAAATTGGGGACAGTAGGTTCTGCCTTAAAGTGCCTTGTTCCTATCCCTCATCCTGCGCAGGCCCAGGGTGTGGTGAAAGACCTGGAGCCCGAGCTACTGCGACACCTGGCACAGGGCACTGCTTCGTTGCTGATCACCACCAAGGGGAGCCCTAGGGGGGAGCTCCGCGGGCAGGTCAGTGGGCAGTGTGGCTGTGGCGGGGTGGAGCCGGCCGCATGTGCCTTTGCACCTGTCACTTGCTCTCTCTGAGTCCTGGGGGTGGTAGTCTCAAACTTTGGCCAGTGAGAAGGATGAAGCCACACAAGGCGCATAAGGAGGCGGGTCCCCTGGTATCACAGTGCTCAAGGGCTGGAGGTGTCTCCTGTCCCTGGCCAGCCGTAGCTGGTGATGCCAGGGGGTATCCAGAGCACTGCCTCAATTGGCCTCTCCTCCCAGGTGCACATCACCAACCAGTGCGAGGCGGGGGCCCAGCACCTTGCTGCAGCTGCTACGGAGGAGATGCGGACCCCCGGGACTTTGGATGTAGCTGCCAGACCAGCGGTGCCCGCCGCCCTGGCCCCCGAGGCCCCTGCACCTGCCAAACCTGGAGGCTCTGGGCGGCTCCGAGACCCCAACACGTGCTTCTTTGAGGGGCAGCAGCGCCCCCATGGGGCTCGCTGGGCACCCAACTATGACCCGCTCTGCTCCCTCTGCACCTGCCAGGTAAGTGGGAGGTCCAGGAAGGGTGATGAGGAGGATGAGGATGACTGGGGACAAGGAACTTGGTCAATGCCTCTGCTCCTCTCTGCAGAGACGAACGGTGATCTGTGACCCCGTGGTGTGCCCACCCCCCAGCTGCCCACACCCGGTGCAGACGCCTGACCAGTGCTGTCCAGTGTGCCCTGGTGAGTTCCCTGCAGGGCTGTGGGGGAGGGGTCCCAGGGAGCGAAGGGGGCAGATCACCTTCCGCCTCCTTTTCTTTGGCCTCACAGAGAAGCAAGATACCAGAGATCTGCCAGGGCTGCCAAGGAGCCGGGACCCGGGAGAGGGTGAGCTGGACGGGTGCGTGCAGGGGTGGGAGGATTCAAGGGGCCATCGGGTTGGACAAAAAAGGGGAGAGAGAGAGTGTGTGGGGGAGGGGAAGGGCCCAGGGTCCAGGGCCCAGGGTCCAGGGCCCAGGGCCCAGGTATGGGGTGATACCTCACAGGCCTCCGTAGTGTTTCCAGCCCCCAGTAGCCTCTGTGTTAAGCTATTGTACAGCTGTCCTGACGCTCAAGCCTTGACTGTGGGCGCAGCTGATGAGCTCACTACTAACAGCAACTGGGCACCCTCCCTCACCAGGCTGCTACTTTGATGGTGACCGGAGCTGGCGGGCAGCGGGTACCCGGTGGCATCCTGTTGTGCCCCCCTTTGGCTTAATTAAGTGTGCTGTCTGCACCTGCAAGGTATGGCTGCCCCATCGTCTCTGGTGCCATAAGCCAGCGGGGTCTGCAGAGTTGGGGAGGGGGCGGGCTGGAAAGCAGAGCTATCCGCGTGGGGAGGGCTCAAGGACGCAAACATGCTAGAGAAGTCCCGCGGGCACCGGCAGTCCTGTGGGCTTCGCAGAGCACAGCGGTGTGAACGTACGTCATGTGTGTCACACGCAGCAGGCTTTCATAGATGAGAAAGGGCTACCTGGGTACGAATCCTGCCTCTGTCCCCTGACTGGCTCCATGCGACCCTGGGTGCTTTCTGAACCTCGCTGTGTCACCCTCTTCTCTCCTGTAAGCAAGTACATGTCACCTATCTTGTAGGGTACAGTGAAGATTTGAGGTCAGGTAGATAAAGCGAGTCTAGGACTTTGAGTAAAACACCAGGCGTGTATTTCACTGGAATGGGGAAAGGAGAGGGAGGAAGCAGGGGGCTTACGTGTCCTTCTCCTCCCTGACCCCCATCACGCGACGGATCCCTGCAGGGAGGCACTGGAGAGGTGCACTGTGAGAAGGTGCAGTGTCCCCGGCTGGCCTGTGCCCAGCCTGTCCGCGCCAACCCCACCGACTGCTGCAAGCAGTGTCCAGGTGAGCAGCTTGGGCACCGAGACCTTACCCTTGGGGTTGGGGCAGCCGTTGACCCGGGTGAGGGGAAGGGGCGTCTCAGCTACTTCTGGATCCACTGAGCATTGCTCTGTGCCCAGCCTGCAGCCAAAGCTCTAAGCACAGTGGAGAGAATGTACCTGTAGTCATGGGATGTGATGGGCTTTAGTTTCTATTCCTCCCATCCTTCCATCTGTCCATCCATCCCTGTGTTCATCCATCCATCCATTCATCTGTCCATCCATCCATCCACATTTATCACCCACTAAGTGCCAGAAACTGCTAGGTGGTGGGAATTTAAAGAAAGATCCAAGCTGGGTGACCCTCTGGGGCTGACCTCTGCCTCTTTCCCTCCCAACCGTGGGGTCAGGGTCCCCCCAGCTGGGGGACTCCATGCAGGCTGACGGCCCCCGGGGCTGCCGTTTTGCGGGACAGTGGTTCCCAGAGAGCCAGAGCTGGCACCCGTCAGTACCCCCCTTTGGGGAGATGAGCTGTATCACCTGCAGGTGTGGGGTAAGTGGGGTCCTGCCGTGGGTGGATCTTCCTGGGGAGGGCGGACTCCTGGAGGTGGGCTTCCTGCAAGAGGCTGATGTCCACTGCACCCCCGTGCCGCTGGGGACCCTCAGCATCTGCTCTGTCCTACGCCAGGCAGGGGTGCCCCACTGTGAGCGGGATGACTGCTCGCTGTCACTGTCCTGTGGCCCGGGGAAGGACAGTCGATGCTGCTCCCACTGCACACCCCGGCGGCGTAAGTGAGGGAGGCCAGGGACAGCACCTGTGGACTTGGCCTTGCTGGCTGCAGGACACCTGGGAGGGAGGGGAGCCCTGGGAGCCCCTGTGCTGCCAGGAACCGTGTGGTCTGCTTCTCAGGCACCGTCCTAGTCCACCCACACAGGTTGTCACCCACCAGGGGTTGTCATGTACCATCATTTCCTTACGAGTGAGATTTCTGAAGTGCAGAGGAACGAAGCAGCTGGGCTGAGGTCCACTGACTGACTCGGACAGTTGTTTCCTTTCTGGGGCCAGGGCAGGGCGCTCTGCTCAGGTCCCCTGTGCCTTTCTCCCTGCCACCCTCTCCCCTGTCCTGCTCCACCCTCTGCTCCCTTCTGTCTCCAGCGGCCCCCGAGAGCAGCAGGACTGTTCCAGAGCTGGAGAAAGAAGCCGAAGGCACCTAGGGAGCCGGAAGGGCCCATGACCAAGAGGACAGGGTCTGAGCTGGGGGAAGGGGCGGTGCTGAGGATGTTGCCTTCTCCTGTGCGGAAGCCCAGTGCCTTTAGCTCCTCCGTTCTGCCTCTTCTCCCTCCCCCACTACCTCTGGGAACCACAGATCCACAAGGGGGAGAGGTGGCCAGGCCAGGCCCAGGCCATACCCACTCCAGCTCTGCCCTGCCACCCTCTGGCCTCTGCCCGGGAAGCCCCGCCCATTTCCTTCTGTACATAATAATGTCACTGGCTTGTTGGGAGTTTTAATTTATCCTCACTCAGCACCAAGGGCCCCCCCTCCACTCCTGCTGCCCCTGAGCTGAGCAGAGTCCTTACTGGAGATTTTGGTATTTATTAAAACATTGTTTTTCAGTCCTTGGGCTCCAGATGGGTTCCTTTTTGGCCAGGGACCGGAGTGGATCTCAGTGGAAGAGGGTCTGAGGGTAGGAGATGAGAGCTCTGCTCCAGGGGCAGGAGGAGTCCTGGACAGGGCCAAGATGGCACAGTAGCTGGCTGAATTCTGCAGAGGGGTCGGGATCGCCCGAGCTGGGTTGGAGTTTTGAGAGCTCACACAACCTGAGGCAGAATTTAGACTCAAGCTGGCTTGGTCAGGACTGGTGTTTTCTGCCTGGCTGTCTATTTGAAGTTGCTGCAAAGAGAGGAGCAAAAGAGTCACTCGCTTTATTGTCTTTGTCTGGAGTGAAGCACATACTTTCTATTATCATTATTATTATTATCGTTATTATTATTTTCCAGTACCGGGAACCGAACTCACGACCTTGCACTTGCCAGGCAGGCACTGTGCCGCTGAGCTAAATCCCCAGTCCCCAACACATACTTTCTTACTGTTCTTTTTTCCTGGAAATAAATTGTGTCTTTATGGTTTTTTTTGGTACCAAGGATCAAACTCAGGACCTTGCGCTTGCTAGGCAAGTGCTTGTGCCACTGAGCTATATCCCTGGCCCATACATTGTCTTCTGGACCAAGTCACGGGGCAAATCGAGATCACCGTGGACTGGGATCAGCTCAGATCCAGTTCTTGACTGAGCTCAACTTGAGACTGAGTGATGTGATGTACAGAGCAAGACTCCACACGCCTTCCACATTTCTCCCTCGACCCCTTATTCCTGCCGGTTATTCCCACGGGCCCCATAGGCTGTAGGAAATAAGGTTATCAGGATGGAAACTGACAGTGTGTGTAACGTGCAGATCTATGTTTTGTGTAAACCATACAGGGTAAAATAAAGGGGGATTTTATGATCTAGTAAGGCAGAAGGAAAGGAAAATCATAGCCTTTTTATGTAGTGTGAGGCATGCTGTGTGCGGTTAGTTACTATCTTTGCCCGTTGAAATATCAGGTTCCAGTTCTGCTGTTAACTAGCTGAATTATTTCACTTCTGTGCCTGTTTCCTTTCTGTGAAACAGATATCGCTCTCGTAGGATACAGTCAGAACATGTGCTTTATGTAGTAGCAGCTCAGTGCCCGGCACATACTCCTTGGCAAAGACACTAACTGTGGTGGAGTTTCTGGAGCCGGTTGGGGAATTTCTGGAGGGAGAAATGTGGGAGGAGAGGGGCAACGGGTTTCCACTCTGCCAGGATGTTCGTGGATGAGCCGAGCTGAAGATGCAGGATGGTAAGGATGGGGTAACTGGACTTGGGCCGGTGGAGGATGAAGAAGCAACAGGATTCAGCGTGGGGTTAGACACAGGGAGCTGAGCACAGTGCTAGGTATGGTGTGATGGAGGAGCTGGTCTGGAAATGCATGCACTGACAGTACTGTCCTTCCCGGTGAGGGAGCAGGGAGCCAGGCGCAGGTCAGTTTAGTGGGCCGCGTGAGGCTGGGGCTCACCAGGATCCTGAACCGCAGGTACCCGCAGGGCTTCAGTGCAGGCCTCAGCTGAGCAATGGAAGGCACATCAGATCATGGATCCGGGCAGAGCAGTGTTCTCTTCAGACAAGTCTTTGAAATACCTTTCCCATCCTAGCCTGTGTTCTACCCAAAGCTGACCAGGCCTTAGGCCCCACCCAAGCCCCAGGGAGTGACTCGAGAAGTCAGCCCGGCCCGGTGCAGTGTGTGCAGGACTTGGTGTCAGGTTCCCCGGAGCCCTGGCACGCAGAGACCTCAAGAGGGCTCCCCATCCCTTCCCCTCTGGCATCCTCAAGAGCCATTTCCCTTTCCAAAGGAACCGAACCAAACCAAACCAAAAAAACACAACAGCAAAAGCCCAAGGAGAAACCTGCCTTCCTAGGTAGAATATTTCAGTGTCAAGACAGTTACTGGTGGGATTTAAAATTTGGCTTTGGTGTGTCAGGTGACAAACGTCACCAGTTTGGAGCGATGGCATGGTGAGGCTGCTGGCAGCCATCTGTTTACTTTTGGCCAAGCCACCAGAGCCGTTGTAGGAGTATCGCAATAATTTATGGGAGTGACTTAAGACGAGCAGGTCTCAAACTGTGGCCAAGGACATGTGAAAGTGCCATCAAGCAGAAAGAGTGCTGCGGGGCCCAGGGACCTGCTATGCATGGGGACTCCAGGGCGCCAGCTCTGCTTTTCTGACAGCTGCTCCCCCATGGGCAAAGCCTGCATTCCAGAGCTGAGCTGGTTACTTTCGAGAAAAAGTTTTTCAACTTTGGAATTTTATTGCATTTCACCCCTGGGCCTTTTATAAAACTGATGAGAAATAGAAAAGCAAAAGTGACAGAAAGGAGAGTCCTTGGGGCAAGGAGGGTGTCTCAGCAGGGGGGATGAGGTGCGTTTCAGCCTGTCAGACTTTAGGTGGTTGCAGGTGGTGTGAAGGGGACACAATTATACACGGGACACACACACACAGACTACGGATGGGATGCTTGCTTCTTAGGGATTATGGCGTAATCACAGCACTCTCAGGATGAGCCATCAAACACCTTGTACTGTTGTTTGGTTTTGATATTTGATATTTTTACTTGCCTGTGCAAAGGAGGCTGAATTGGTTCTGCTTATCATAGAGGAAGTCATTGTGAATAATTACAGCAATACCCAGATACATGAGCAAGAGTGGTTCACCTGTCCCTCCAAACCCCAGTAGCGGTTCTCAAAGCAACCACTGAGCAGTTTTCCAAGTTTTAGTTAAGACCTTTAGTTGCCCGGCTCCACTCCAGCACCACTCTGGGTCCTGCCCCTTGCAGTGTCTCAGACCCCACCTGTGCAGTGGCTGTGATGTCCCAGTGTAGGGTATTTGAGTGGCAGCCTTTGGAGGTAGGGTAGGGAGAGCAGTAGAGCACATTTAAGGGAAGTCTGACCTTTGGCATTGGAAATAGCTGAGGAGACAGAAAAATAGAAGGCTGGAAAAAATCCCAAACAGCTCAGAGAATCTGGCAAATTGGCATTCAGTGGTCTAATCTTTAGGAAATTGACCAGAGCCCACCAGTGGGTCTCAGATCCTCAGCCGGTGGGTGTTGCGCAGGCGAGGAGATTGTCCCGTCCTCACATGGATAGCAGAGGTCACCCAGAAGGGGCATCTGCAGCCAAGGCCCCTGCTTTTCCTTGGGAGCGGTGGTCCATGGTGTCTTTTTGTGTGCCTTCTTTGGCTACTGGTTTATTGGCCGAGCCACAACCTCTTGTGATTCTCCAGGTTTCTTTTGTTTTTGAGCTGAGATCTCTGCCCTACTTTGGGGGCAGAGATTGACTCTCTCCTGGATGCAGTGGGACAGGCAAGGCATAGGTGAAGGTAGCAGATGCCAGTAAAGTGTCTGATGAGCATGGGGCTGAGGCCTTCTCCACTCAGGGTCAGGAAGGCTGCTGTCTGGAAGCCGAGAAGCTGACCCAGCCAAGTACGTTTGCTTCCAGCTCAGCAGCTGGGGGACCTCAGGAGTCTGACGTGACTGGCAAAGAGGCACTCGAGGCCAGAGCAGGTGGCCATGGCTGGGACTACACACACACACAGCAAGGACATGAAATACCCAGCCTGTCATTGCTGTTGGAATTCCTGGCGGCCCTGGGACTTTCCATATGGGGGACTTGTCCCCGCAAAGCCTCTGTTCTGAGGGAAAGTGAGGGAAGCCAGGGACATTCTCTTCTACATGAATATAAAAACAGTCAAGTTCTTCAAAGCCAAAGCTTCCGTAGTCTTTTCAGTCTTCTACACTGTCAGCAGTAGAGACATATTCTTTAGACTGGGGGGAGATTGTGTGTGTGTGTGTGTGTGTGTGTGTGTGTGTGTGTATGTGTGTGAGCTAGAAAGCAGCAAGGCAGAGGCTGCAGGAGACAGAGCCAAGGAGAGACAGCAGGATACTGTCCACTACGTACCATTTTGTAAGCTGTCAATTTAATCACTTTTAAATAGCTAATAAGGTACAAAACAATATCTAGGGTACAGTTCCCCTGCCCAGGCGTCAAGATTCACTCCCCAAAGAAACTCAGTTGCTAATTTCTTGCATACAAGAAAAGCCTTTTGAGAACAGGGATGTCTAAGGTCCAAGGCTAAATTACCTGCATTGTTGTGAAACAGACCAAAGCTTCTCAAACTTCCACAAGCACTTGGATCCTCTGGGGGGGCTTGTAAACTGCAGATGCTGATTCAGAAGGTCTAGGTGGGGCTTGAGCCTCCTGTATTTTCTGAGGAGATTCTAGGGGCCCTTGATGCTGCTGGTTCAGGGACACACTGTGGGCAGCAGGGATGCAGCTGGGCCCTCACCTCACATTTTCAGCAAAATGTGCCATATCATCAAGGTTTCTGGTAAGTTTATTGAGCTTCTTTTGCCAGATACTGTCCTAAGTGCTGGAGAGTCAACAGGGAATGAAACTGACAAAAAGCCCTGCCCATGTGGAATTTATAAATTTGTGAGAGAAGATTGTCAATAATGTACTAGCCAACTTTCTATTATAGTAACAAAATGCCTGAGATAATCAACTTAAAAGGAGGAAAGGTTTATGTTGACTCATGGTTTCAGAGGGTTTAGTACATGGTTACTTGGCCTTGTTGCTTTGGGCTTGTGGTGGTGCAGGAGGCCTGTTCACCTAATGGTTGCTGGGGAGCAAAGAGAGAGACACAGGGGGGCTAGAGTCTCAATGACCTAACTTTCTCCTGCTAGGGCCCACCTCCTAAAGAGACCAGCACCTCTCAGTGGCACCACACCCAGGGACAACACCTTCAAAAGTGAGCCTTTGGTGCTGGGGATGTGACTTGCAGGTAGAGCTCTTGCCTTGCACACTCAAGGTTTGATCCTCAGCTCCACACACACACAAAAAGACTCCACATCAAAAATGAACCTTTGGGGAACACTCCAGATCCAAACTACAGCAACACATGTAATCAATAGATCAATTATAATATAGCAATAAACATAGCACATAAGTCAAATAGAGGGAAGATGGTGCTATGGAAAACATAGGG